AAGACTGGGCAATCTACTTCTGTAAAGATTTACCGCCTCAGAAACCCAATGGGGGGTCTCTATAAGTTGGAATCAACTCAACGGCAGTGGGTTTGGGTTTTTTGGGGTTTTTTTCCGCCAAAAAGAGGGAAATGTTTTCTAATTTGCCAAAAGCATTTTTAAGAAATATTTTCCCTGAATGAGAGGAGGAGGAGGAGCAGGGGTGAGGGTGTGTGAAATGGACGCTGTTTTGGAAGGTCAGCTACTTCTCTTAGGATTTTTTTTTTTTTTTTTTGAAGGCACTTCCTTCTGATAGACTTTTGCTTTCAGAAAATACTTTAAAAAGAGATCAAAGCACTCTCTCCCCAACCCACTTTTCCAGTGTCTTCAACCCTTACTTCTCTTATCACCCACGCCACTGGGCTCTGACGCTCTGTATACAGAGTGAGGGCAATTGGCTTTGAAGCCCCGGATTAAGCCTGGCCAAATCCTTGCCTCAGAATAACAAACAATACAGGTTCAACAGGAGTTCTCATCAGTAGTTCATTTTTCAAACGCAAATTCACTGTCACTAACACAAGCAACATTGAACTCAACAGGCTATGAAGGCTGATAGGGGAGATTTATCTGGTGGCAAAACCATGACCTAGGACTAGGGCAGTCAGACAGTTAGGAAATTTTCATTTTGGGGAGGTTTATATTTAAATTTTTTGGAGCTCACTTTTATCTGTATTTGGGAGAAAATGCAGTTTCTCACATGGATCAAGCTTGGCAGGGACATGAGGGGGTGGAGAGAGGGATCTGCTATCTGCAGTTAATGGCTGGACTTTCTGGTGCAGGGAACTGGGGAGGGGGACTGATTAGGGAGGAGTTTGGTCCCATTTTATACCTACATCAAAGGTCTCTTGAGCTTTCACCTGTGGTGGCATTTTATTCACTAGATCAAATTGTTCAAAAAATTAAAGTACTATCCAATGAAGAAGGAGTTTAGTACCTAAACCATTTGACTGCTAAACCAGAAGGTTGGTGGTTCAAATCCACCAGCCACTCCTTGGAAGGAAGACAGAGCAATCTACTTCTGTAATCATACCGCCTCGGAAACCCAAAGAGGGGTCTCTATGAGTCAGAATCCACTCGATGGCAGTGAGTTTGGTTTTTGGTTTATCTAATGGAAGAAGGAGCTCTTGTGGCATAGTGGGTAAGGCATTTGGCTGCTAGCCAGGTTGGTGGTTCAAAACCACAAGCTGCTCTGTGGGAGGAAGATGAGGCAATCTGCTTCCATAAAGATTTACAGCCTTGAAAATCCAATGGGAATCACTATGAGTCAGAATCAACTCGATGGCAGCGAGTATCCAGTGAAGGAGACTACTTTCTCCTTGGGCCTTCAAACCTTCAAGGACCTAAAGGGCTTATGGCAGACAGGAAGCTTGTTCAAATTAGCTTGAGAACATTCTGGCTCCCCTTCTTCAGGGTCCACAACCAGACAGCAGTTATCACGCCCTTAACCAGACAGGGGTTTCTAGGGCAACAACCCTACCTACATTAAACAAAACCAAAAACCCAAACCCACTGCCATTAAGTAGAGTCTGACTCATAGTGCCCCCCACTGGGTTTCCAAGGCCATAAATCTTTATAGAAGCAGACTGCCTCATCTTTCTTCTGCAGCGCGGCTGGTGAATTTGAACTGCCAAGCTTCTGGCTAGCAGCCCAATGCCTTAACCACTACACCACCAGAGTTTCTTTGTCCTGCATTAAAAAGGGGCCTCATAAACAGGCAATCATGAGGATCTCTCAGAGTTGGCGCTTTATTCTGGGAGTGGGGTGCTCATCTGCTTGGCTTGTATAGACTTGGAAATTGCCCAACCCTGCCTCTGTACATGAGTCTTCCTTTCTCTGGGGTTTGGTTTCTGTTCTCTCAGTTCCCTGCAGTTCTAGCAATCTACAAATCTATGATTTAAGTTTAGGGGAAAGGCTTAGACCGCCTACTGAGAAATGGAAATCTCCCAGGAAGTGTTCTGGTAGAGTCACAAGGAGTTAGGGGACTAGGAAGAGTCTTGAGCAGGGCGGTAAAGACCTCCAAGCTCAAGCAATGCAAGATGCATTCAAAAGCCTGTGTGAGGGAGGAGGTAAAAAAAAGTAAGTAGGAGAATACACTGACCAGGGTGGTGAAAGTGGTCTTTGAAGACGGGGGTGGGGGTGGGGGTGGGGGTTGTGCAGGAGGATAAAGCGTCTCTGGAAACCCTGGGGGGGGGTGGCAGGGAGAATAACACCAGTGACTTAAGGACTAGCCCTGGTGCAAGGACAACTTTCTGCCAGAGAAATAGAAGGCTGTGATGAATCCGTAATTGGCCAACATCATCACAGCCATTTTAAAGTTATTGTCATTATTCCCTTGGGCCCATTTCTAAACCCCTACCAGGATTAGGCACAAACATCTGCCTGAAGCTGATCACTTCTGGAAGTCTGTGTGCGAGTGTATGTTGGGAGGAAGGGAAGGAGTAGGACCACGCAGGTGCAGGAAACCCCACTGAGGAGAGCTACAAATGCCTTTTGTTTAGAATGGCAGAGGCCAGGCATGCCCAGAGAACTTACTGGCCAATCATTTTCAAGAGAAAGTTATTTCTGCTGCCTGAAAATGGAAGCTCTGAATCTTTCTCTTTCTTCTTTCCTTCTCTCCACTCCAGCAGGCACAAGAAATAAATCCTCCTCTTCACACCTGTAATCCACTTGACAATTTACCAAGCACTGTTCACATGATTGCTTGGTTTGAGACTCACCCAAACCCACCAAACCCACGGCTGTCCAGTCAGTTTTTGAGCCTCACAAACCAAAACCCACTGTCATCAAGTCAATTCCAACTCATGGCAACGCTATAGGACAGAGTAGAACTACCCCATAGAGTTTCTGAGGCCATAAATCTTTATGGAAGCAGACTGCCTCATCTTTCTCCCACAGAGCGGCTGGTGAATTCAAACCACCAATCTTTTGGTTAGCAGCTGAACATTAAAAAAAAAAAAAAAATCAAAAAGGGAAGGGTGGTAATTAAGTCTACAGTCACCATCCCTATTTCACCAGACAACACTGAGTCACAAGGTAGTCCAATAACTTGTCCAAGTGCACTCAGCTAGGATGCACCAGGACTTGTGACACCTGGCCCTCCAATGCCATGACTCGACAAGGTACCCTCTTTCCTCATCAACAAAATGCATCAAACGAAGGCCCTGAAATCCCCCTGCTACCTCCCCTGATAAAGGCCTGGGTGGCCACTCCACCTCCCTGATTAAGGCATGAGGGTGCCCAAGTGCTCAGACCTTCAGCCCCAGTGTCAGGTTACTCAATAAGCAAGGTAAGCATGGGCTTACCTGTGCTTACTTAGTAATTTGTAGTGAACAATTTCACATTATTTTCTCCACATCAAAGATTGTGCTTCCAGGCAGGGCTGGCATCTCTCTCTCTCTCTCTCTCTCTCTCTCTCTCTCTCTCTCAACCCCACAGCACCTTCCTATAGAACCAAAACCTCTTTTCAAATTTACAACCCCTTACAGGGATGGAGAATCCAGTAAGCAAGGTAAGCAAGGCTTACTTGTGTTTACTTACTAATCTGCTGTGAACATTAGTAGGTAAGCACAACTAAAGCCCTGCCTACCTTGTTTTCTGGATACTCTGCCCTTTCCCAGCCCCAAAAAAACAAAGGAGACCAAGACTAGCCATGGAGCAGAGACAGAAAAGACCACAGCACCCATACACTGCACACAGCAAGGCACCGGCTTTTTGTTTCTTTTGAATGGCCACCATTCCCCAAGCAGTTCAGCAGAGTTCTCTAAAAAGCAGATGAAAATGCTGAGCGGATGCCAGACATTTCTCTAATTATTATTGATATTTTAGTTTAACATTTATTGCTTGCTTATTTATGTGCCAGGAATGGTGCTAAATGCTAAGTATGAAGTAAAATCTTATTTTATAGATGGAGATAGGGAGAGAGGCAGAGACCTTTGAGCACCTTTGAGGTTACACAGATGTAAGTAAGTAGCTGAGAGGGAAGTGGAACATGCCACTGTCTGACTCCAGACCCTGAGCCTTAGATGCTTCACGATGATATTATCCCTCCGAACGCCCAGTTACAGGCCCACAGCCCGTCAAAGGGGCATTTTCACACCTAACCTGGCTCCAGGGGACCAAAACTAAGTGTGTACATGTAGAGGGGACAAGTGGGAAGGGAGTTCCTGAGCCTGATCTTTCCAGCTTCTCTGTCTGCAGCAATCTTCCTTCACCTGATAATGGATAGGCCCCATTCCCTGCCCCACCCGACACCTTAGCTCCAGCGAATCCCCACTGTCTGTCTTCCTTCTCTCACCCTCTCCTCCCTGTTCTCTCCCACAGACACCAGCGCATTTTAAAGATGTTTCCACTTTATAAATCATCCCTCTCTGGCAGCCACCCCGTGAGCTGCTCCCCAAATAGCGTGCGCGTGCACACACACACAAAGCCCAACGGGTGCCTTCCCATTAGCTGAGGAGGGGGCTGGAAACAGAGGAGCAGCACCCTTGAGATGAGAGACTTGGGGGTCTGTGGTGCTCCTGAAGTTACAGAAAAAGAGGGGGTGGAAGTACTTCCCTTTCCCCTATCTGCTGAGGGGAATCTCCCCCAGGTTCCCATCAATGCAATTCTGAGAAGGCCTCCGCCATCTGCAGGTCTCCAAAGGAGGGAGGACAAAGCAGCTCCCCAGGGGGTAAAAAGTGCTGGAGGGTGAACTCCAAGGGTTGGATCCTTGTTTGCATCTCATTTACATAGTGTTCTCCTCCCACGTCCATCCTTCCCTGCTTGCTTCCTTGATGGGTAGCACTCTGTGGCCTCCATGGCCAGTCTGAAGTCAAAGTAGAATGTAAAGTTGAAGCCAGAGTGTCAGAGGGGACTCGGGCAGCACCCCCACGCTGGAGACCACAAGGATTGCTAACAGGGTCCTCCGGAGACCCCCACCGTTCCCACCCCTCCTCTCCTGAAGTCAATCTCCCAGCGCTGACCTGCCGGCCTTGGTGATGATCATCTCCGTGCCGGCCTCGTGGAACTTCTTCCAGAGCTCCTTCTCATGCAGCCCCACCTTGATGTTCTCCACGGTCTGGGATGGAAAGGAGGACTTATGTCTGCCCGGCCTGCGGCTCCACGCAGGACACACACCAGCTTCGAGGACCAAGCACGCAGAAAGAAGCACACTGGCCCCAGCAAGCGCTAGAACATTGCCAGTCCCCGGGCTCCCATGCCTCACGATTTCTTTTCATAAGATTATTTTGTACCATTGGGGAATTAAAAAAATGTAATCAGTGGCTAAAAGTCCCTCCTTCAGGGCTGTCCCTACATTTGGGATGCAGAAGACACACATACTGACCCTGCCAGGGAGATGGCATAGTCCTACACAAACATCCACAGAGAAAAGCGCCCACTTCACGTGGCGAGACGGAGCCCCAGGCTCGCGGGCAAACACACAGACACTCGGCGGGGCGCCTACGCCCTTGGCCAGACGCGCGCACCCGCAGACACCGTGCACCGAACCGCACAGGCAGCGGGCTGCACTGCCGCTTCGGTTCCTTGTGATCGTCGGGTTTCCACCGCGTAGCCTCTCAGTGACGTCCCTGCGGTCTCGGAGTTTGGCGGCGGTGCCCGTGCGCACCCGGGAGAGGTCGGCTTTACCTGCCCTGTACCAGGCCGCGGGGCCCCGTCGTTTGGGGTCCTCGCAGCTGGACACTGGGTCTGGGGTCACTCTGCTGTCGAAGGAGTCTCCCTCCCCCGCCTGTCCCAGAGCAGCCCCAAGACTCAAAGTAGAGGAGAGCCCGAATAGAGGGCACAGCGAGCCTTGCTCAGGGGAGGACGAACAGACGGACAGTCCTGGACTCAGCCAGGTGCCCCTGGAAGGAGTTCTGGCCACAGTTGGAAACACTGACCACCCTGCAGACAGGCGGACGCCCGACCTCTACCCGACGGCCAGCGCGGCCCTACCTGCTCAGCGGCGGCGGCGACGTCGGCACCGGCGCCAGGAGGGCTGCCGAGCGCGGCTCCGCTGAGGCCCGGCGCGGCCAGCGCGGGCTCAGGGGCGGCGGTGGCACTGGCAGCGCTGGCCTCGCCGAGCGATGGGCCCGGGGCCCTGAAGGCCTCCTCGCTCTCCGACAGGCCCTTGTCCTGCAGCATCTCCTGCGGGCACAGCACACACCGAATCACTCGCCCAGTCAGTCCACACTCGCCAGAGCCCCCTCGGCCCGCAGAGCTGAGTCGTGGGCTTGTGCAGAGCGTGGGGACCGACCGCCGGGCGCACGTGGACCCCGCCCCCGCCTGGGCTGGGGGAGGGAGCCACAGGGAGGGCAGGATCCTCGCCCCCTGCCTCCGGGGGCTGCGAGATTCTCTGTCTGCCTGGCTTTGGTGTGGGGCTGTGTGATGAGTGGGTCTGGGGGAAGGACCGCCCTCTCGGCATCGCCCCAGCTGCACCCACAGTCCCTCCCTCCTGCTGGGCTCCAGTGGGTCCTCAGGCCTGGACCTTCTAGCCCAGAGGAGCCAAGACACTTCAGGCAGGCAGGCGGGGAGCCAGGCCAGGAAGACAGGACCAGGTTCTTGTGGCTGGGCTCCCTACCTGCAGAAATGACCTAGGGCCAGCTACCTGCACCCACTCCCTCAGATAGCACTCCAGTAGACACACCCTGCACAGAAAGCTTTTAATCCTATGCATCCCCACTCCCACAAACACCCTCTTCCCACATGGGCACCCATATCCTCTCATGCAGGCAGTGGACGGAGCATCACACAGCCTCCTAGTTACTCAAACAGCCATTCTGCTAGGGCTGCTCTGATCCAGGCACTGTACAGCCTCCCTAGCCTAGCTCTCACATTCATACTTCTGGCTGGCCCATTCACACATTAGCTCCAAAGGACTACAGTTTGGGCCCAAAGGCTGAATCCAGACCATTCGCAACTGAGAACCAGGCCCGTTGGGTGGGTCCAGTTCACAGCTATTCTTCCCTCAGGATCTGGGCCTATTCACCAGCACACCCAACCCCCAGGTGCCTCACTCCTGCTCACCGCTGGCTCTGGAATACATTGATGGAATTCCAGCCTGAAGGGCCTGTCCTACCTTTGTGAGGTGTGCAACCCTGCACTATCTCCAGTTTGCCTTTCCACCTCGCTGTTCTTCCCTCTTGGAGCTGGGCGAGTTCTGGTAGGGCTTTGTGTATGTCTGACTGCTTCTTGTGTCTAAATGTCCCCCTTTCCTCCTCCTACCTTTTTCGTGCTGTCCCCTGATCTCTCTGTACATCCCAAGACCCAGGCCCTCTTCCACCATGTCCACTGACCTCCCCAGCCCAGACCTAGATCTACTTCAGCTCCCAGGGCCTCGCTACGTAAACAAGCCAAGTGCAACTGAAGAGATAAAAAGAGGTCAGGGCTAGCCCGGGCTGGGAAAAGCCCATAAAGATAAGGCTGACAGCCTGGGTCCTGGTCCTGAGGGCCACAGTCTGCAGGGAGCAAACTTATGGGGCAAGGCTAACGCTGGCCGCAGACCACGCGCGGGTCCCTAGACCGAGCCTCCGAAACCCAGGAGCCCCAGTCAAGAGGACCCTACGTGCGTAGGGTAGTTGTAGTTGTGCGTTCGGCCCCACGGCACTGGTTCTTGAGACAACCTCAGCCTTGTCGGCCCTCGACCATATCTGGGGCCCAAGCGGGATAGACGTCTGCAGTCCGCCGGGCCCCAGGTGCGGCGGCCCACGGAACCAGGAGACCGGACTGTTAGCGCGTTGCAGGCCTGACCATTTGGTCTGCGGGGCACTTGTCACACCCGGGGCTGTACATGGCACTATCTGCCTCATGCCACAAGCTCCCAGTCCTGTCGCGTGCCCAGCACGTCCGCGGTCCAAGTCCAGTGACGCCGCTGCCGCCGCTCGGACGCGACACGAGGGCTGCGCGGCGCTCTCCTACCCCTCCTGGGATTCGCCTCTTCCTTTTCTCTCGGCCACTGGGCCACATTCCAGCGTCGCCACAGATCGCCCTTGCCGGAGCGCCCCGCCAATTTCCTTTGCTTCCCGACCGGCTGGCCCGGGGTGGCCCCCACAGCCCCCTAATCCCAATGGGCTCAGACGCAGGCACGGCTGGGCCACGCTTGTCCTTCACGCCGATCCCTCCGCAGGCGCGGCCCGCCAGCTCCGCTCCCTTTATGCTTGGATCGGCTGCTTTCGGCCGCTTCGTTTTCCAAGGAGGATAACGTTTTCCTTTCCACCCCTAGATTACTGGGAATTATTTCTGTTGCATTAGGGGAATTGTTAATACGTTTTAAATATTTCAATTGTCGGTAGTATTAGAATAGTGTTCTGGTCAGTTCAGTAACATTAAGAATATTTATCCTATCACCTAACGCAAAACGCAACAACTGCCGTGGAGTCGGATCCGACTCATAGAGACCTCTCCTTGGGTTTCCGAGGCAGTATCACTACGGAAGTAGATTGCCCAACCTTCCTTCCGAGGAGAGGCTGGTGGGTTTGAACCGCCAGCCTTCTGGTTAGCAGTCAAATGCCTTAGGCACTACGTCTCCAGAGCTCCTATCGTATCACATAACAAACTATTATTATTTTTAGTACTGGATGTTTAAAGCACTAGTTTGTTTTTGTTACTTTATCATTGTTGCGAACGTTGTTGTTGCTTTCCTGCCACTGTTCCATCATTCCAGGCACGTTGGTAATACGGTGACCCATGTCTTGGTAATTGTTAATTACAGTGTTCATCTATCCTTATTTTTATGTTTACTTTGTACCCCTAAAATGTTTCGTGGCTGGTTCTTCATTCTGTTTATACTTTGCCAGAGTGTTGCACTGTTCCAATAACTTGTTATTTACCATAACTTGTAATGTTATTTTCAGTATTCACCTTAGTTTTCTCCACACCCTTATAATATTTGCTATTTTGCCATAATTTGTTTTGTTAGGTTTGTTCATAATGCTCCAGGTGTTCTTCATCATTACAATATCTTGTCACTTTGTCATTATTTGTAATATTACTGATCTTAATGCACTGGTTATTTTTCATCACATCATTACTTCTTGTTATTTTGTCATAATTTGTAATATTGCTGTAGCTCTTAATACTCTGATTATTTTTCATCACGTTGGTACAATACTTCTTATTACTCTACCATTATTTATAATGCTGTTGGAACTAGTAATACCTTGGTCATAAATTGTCATACTACTCCAGACTTCTTGTTACTGTGTCTTTGTATTACTATTGCTCTTAAGATTTTGGTTAATACTGATTTTGATAGTTTGGAACTGTATTAACAATACATTATATGACGATATTCTATTAACACTACTAATATTAATATTACTCTTAATAGTTTTTTTCTTTGTTCACCTTTTCCTACAGTTCTCTTTATCATTTGTTATCCTATTATTGATTTTAATGTAACAGTTCTTATTACATTATTTCTCTATTTGAAGTTACTTTGTCCCTATCCATTTAAAATTGTGGTTACTACTTACACTGGATTCTGAAAGCGACTATTACTTAAAAATCGAAGTGTTTTATTGGTTATGCCGCTTAGCCTTGTTTCTTTGGTAATTTCTCACATTCTGATACTGTTGATCATCAATTATTACTTATATATAATGGTCCTTGTTTCAATTTGGACGAGTCTGTTTGCGCCCAAGGTTCAGAAATCCCGTGTTCTGATATTCACATCTCTACATCGATTTTCGCCACCGGTACTGGGCCTTCTTCCTTGGCCTTTCTTATTCTGCAAACATCGACTCCAAGGCCACCGTTCCGCCTGTCGCGGCATAATCTTGTTCCTAAGACGCTGTCGTTTTTACCCTAGGTTATTGGGTCCCAATTCGTTCCCGTTACTCAGAGGACAAGAGGGCTCGCGCCCCAAGTGCTGGGAGTCAGGCCGAGGCGGCGGCCCGAGATGAAGCACATCGCGGTCCTCCTGCCGCTTTGGCTGCCCCTGAGGACCTGACTGTGGTCCCGTTACTCGCTCCCTTTCCAGCTCATCCTCCCTGACCCAGGGCTCCAGGTGGCCCCAGTCCCAGGCGCTCAACTCACCCCACCCCAGCCGGACCCACAAACTCACCCTAACTGCACTGCCGCATGCGGAGGCGCCTGCGGCCCTGGGTCCACTGCAGGCGCGGGTCCGAGGAGCGCGGGACAGGCGGGCACCGCCTCGGGGCCGCTGGGTCAGGGTCCCGCTGCCCGCCGCGCCCTCGGGGCCGGACACATCCCGGCTCTGGAGCGGGCCCTTGATCTCCGAGGCTGCACTTTGGGGCCTCTGCTCCCTCCCCAACCCTCCCTCCCTCCGGGGCCGCCACCCCCCCGCTGACGTCGCCGCTGTCAATCAGCCCGCGCCCGCCGCCCCCCGCGGGGGGGTTCGAGGGTCTCTGGCTCCCCGAGCCGCCCGCCCGCACCCCTCTGCGCGGCCGGGTGCCCTCGCCGCGGCCCTTGGGCCGCGCCGGCCGGACAGGAGCTGAGAGTCCCGCATGGTTTAGATTAGACAGGAGAGAAGCGAGGGCGAGCGGCCCGGTCGCGCCGCACGGCTCACACCCGGGGCTCGACAACCAGAACAGCACGGCCGGCGCCTCCGCGCGGCCCGCGACTGGGCGCTGGGCGGCTGGGCCTGGCGCACACCGGGGCCCACTCCCAGGCAGCCGTCCTCCACGGACCCCTGGGCCGCGGCTCCCCATCCGCACACACCCCCTGTCGGAGACCCGCTCCCAGCCCGGCACGAGGTTGATTTGTAAGCCCATTTCCCCGGTTCTCAGGCGTACACGGACCCGCCTGTTTCGCCCGCGCACACGCGCCTCAGTCACCCACTTTACCGACCGTGCACTTCCACACACTCTCACACCTACTCTCCGTCCCGCGCCCCCTCCTGCCATCGGCTCTGTCTGGCACGTCCCTCTGCTTCCCAGCCGGGCAGCGGGCGCTGAACCCGGCCTGGCCGCGCCTCGGGAGTCAGCTCGGGCAGCCCCAGAGAGGGGAGGCCCTGCGCTCGGGCAGGGAGAAGGCCCAGTGGAATAGCGGCGGTGGTGGAGAGGTGCTGGGGCTCTGCTCAGGCTTTGATGGAGCCCAGGCCGGGCCGGAAGGTGCCAGGGCTTGCCAGTGCTGAAGGCCAGGACTCTGAAGACAGAGCCCAGTCCAGCTCCTGCCTCAGTCTAGGAATCCTAGACCGACAAG